AAGTTTGACTCAATTCTATTGTCGGTGGGAACCAGAATATTCTTTGATTGTAGGTGTACTATAAATACCACCAACTACCACTCCCAAATGTCAAGGTCTATTTTCCCCAAACTCCACCAGAGTTCACAGTGTGCACAAAAATCATCTTTTGCGGCCAATATTGCATCTGCGAAAAATCGTCCAGCTGAGCTTTTCCGAGTTGTCAGGGGTCTGTTAAACCCGCCAAAAAGCAAGATCCCTGATAACTCTGGGGATCGCCGTGAAGCATTTGCTCGATTCTTCGCAGATAAAGTTGCGCTGATTCGGTCTGATTTCGACGCCATATTAACAGCGGTCTCTGAGGATGTAACGAGAACATCTGCTTGTCTGGTTTTGTTGGATTCATTTCAATTGGTTCAGCTTGAGGATGTGGACAGGATCCTTGGGGAAGTGAGACCCACCACATGCATCCTAGACCCCTGCCCATCCTGGCTGATAAAAGAAGCCAGAGGGGGTTTGGCAGAGTGGGTGAAGGTGGTGGTTAATGCCTCCTTACAGGAGGGCAAGATTCCAGCGAGCTTAAAACAAGCTATTATAAAACCGCTGTTGAAAAAACCATCACTGGACCCCACTCAATTAGACAACTATCGGCCAGTTTCCAATCTCCCCTATTTGGGCAAAGTCATGGAACGTGTGGTGGCAACACAACTCCAGGGATTTCTGGTAGACACTGATTATCTAGATCCGGCACAGTCTGGCTTTAGGCCGGGACATGGAACTGAGACAGCCTTGGTCGCCTTGGTAGATGATCTTCGCCGGGAGCTGGACAGGGGGAGTGTGTCCCTGTTAGTTCTGCTGGACCTCTCAGTGGCCTTCGATACGGTATCCTTCTGGGACGCCTCATAGACATGGGGCTCGGGGGCACTGCCTTGCAATGGCTCCAATCCTTTCTTGAGGGGCGGTCCCAGAAGGTTTTATTGGGTGACACCTGTTCGGCCCCACAACCATTGTTGCGTGGAGTCCCACAGGGTTCAATCTTGTCCCCGATGTTATTTAACATCTACATGAAGCCGCTGGGGGAGATCATTCGGAGTTTCAGAATGAGGTGTTATCTCTATGCAGATGATGTCCAAATCTGTCACTCCTTCCACCTGTCACCAAGGAGGCTGTCCAGGCCTTGAATCGGTGCTTGGCTGCTGTGTCGGACTGGATGAGAGCTAACAAATTGAAATTGAATCCAGACAAGACAGAGGTCCTACTGGTCAGTCGTAAGGCCGAACAGGGCATAGGGTTACAGCCTGTGTTAGACGGGGTTACACTCCCCCTGAAGATGCAGGTTTGCAGCTTGGGAGTGATCCTGGACTCATCGCTGAGCCTGGAACCCCAGGTCTCGGCGGTGGCTGGGAGAGCTTTTGCACAATTAAAACGCGCTCTACGTGGTGTTGCCTTTGAAGACTGTTCGGAAACTTCAATTAGTCCAACGGGCGGCAGCCAGATTACTCACCGGAGCGTCATACAGGGAGTACACCACCCCCTGTTATGTCAGCTCCACTGGCTGCCGATCAAGTTCTGAGCACAATTCAAAGTGCTGGTTTTGACCTACAAAACCCTATACGGCTCTGGTCCGGCGTATCTGTCCAAATGCATCTCCCTCTACGTCCCACCTCGGAATTTGAGATCATCTGGGGAGGCCCTGCTCTCGACCCCACCTCTATCACAAGTGAGGCTGGTGGGGACGAGGAGCAGGGCCTTCTCGGTGGTGGCCCCTCACCTGTGGAACTCACTCCCTGGGGAAATTAGATCATCAACATCCCTCCTCTCCTTTAGAAGGAAATTAAAAACGTGGTTATGGGACCAGGCCTTTCGGGCAATCTGGCAGTTAAGGAAAATGGACGACTAGAATTGACAGGACTGACAATGTGGAATTGAAACTATGGACTATGAGACGGTGAACGCTGAGTGTTAAACTGGTTTATTGACGTGTTGTAGAACTGAGAACCGACTGTTTAATTGTTTTTAATTGTTTGATTGCTGCTATATTGTTTTATATTGTTTTGTTTTATTGTTGTATTGTTGTATTGATGCCGGCATCGAATTGTGCCTTTGTAAGGCCGCTCTGAGTACCCCTCGGGGTGAGATGGGCAGTGTAAATAAATACATAAATACATTTTGCACATGCGTTGTAATGTATTGTTTTGTTTTTTGGCCTTTTAGGTCTCTTTTGCTGTGTTTTTCAGTGTTTTTATGAGTGACGGTGGCTCGTAGGCCTGATAGGTGTATTGTGTCCAAATTTGGTGTCAATTCGTCCAGTGGTTTTTGAATTATGTTAATCCCACAAACCAACATTACATTGTATTGTCGAAGGCTTTCATGGCCGGAATCACTGGGTTGTTGTAGGTTTTTCCGGGCTATATGGCCATGTTCTAGAGGCATTCTCTCCTGACGTTTTGCCTGCATCCATGGCAAGCATCCTCAGAGGTAGTGAGGTCTGTTGGAACTAGGAAAAAGGGTTTATATATCTGTGGAATGACCAGGGTGGGACAAAGGACTCTTGTCTGCTGGAGCTAGGTGTGAATGTTTCAGCTGATCACCTTGATTAGCATTCAATGGCTTGGAAGTGCCTGGGGGAAATCTTTTGTTGAGAGTGATTTTATGTGCCTGCTTGTTTCCCCTCTGTTCTTTTGCTGTTGTAATTTTTGAGTTTTTTAATACTGGTAGCCAGATTTTGTTCATTTTCATGGTTTCCTCCTTTTTTGTTGAAATTGTCCACATGCTTGTGGATATGGCTTCTCTGTGTAGTCTGACATGGTGGTTGTGAGAGTGACCTACAACAATCCAACATTACATTTTTATTTACCGTATATAGATGATGAAGAAGATGATTATTATTATTACTATTATTATATAAGTCCCCACTTCTTGACATCCTTTCAACCATTTATCGAGTGTTTTCCTTTTTTATTAAAATTAGCTATTTTTACTGGAGTTATTTGATTTTAACTGTATATTCTCAACTAGTTGCCCCCCTGCCACGCATTGCTGTGGCCCAGTCTGGTGATCTGCAATATAAAGTAATGAGAAAGTGTTGGTTTCTAATATATGTAATTTCTTTCCGCTTGTGGGTAAACAGTATTTCTTGCTGCTTCTTTGTCAGTGTTGATGTGGAGATTGTCTGGTTTGCCTACTCTGGAACATGCAACATATCATTGTCCTTCTTTAGGGGTCCCTTTCAAATCTATGATACTATATCTCTCTGTGTGTGAATCATATCTATCTATATCTATGGCTGGATGGCTCTTTGTCAGGAGGGCTTTGATTACGTTTTCTTGCCCTGGTGAAGGGAGTTGGACTGGATGGCCTTAAGTATTTTCTGTTGGTCATGAGGGTTCTGTGTGGGAAGTTTGCCCCAATTCTGTCATTAGTGGAGTTCAGAATGCTCTTTAATTGTAGGAGATGAAAAATAAATCCCAAATGTCAAGGCTATTTCAGCCAAGTATAAGAGTGGCGCATGAACACGGTTAGCAGTGGGCACCGGTAGTATACGAGCGGCGTCATCCGAAGGCGCTCTCCGTCGCGATGGAAGACACTAGGCTGACAGTACGCATAGACAGATCATGAGTGTGAGGGGGGGCAGACATGTGACTGGGTCACGTGCGGGTAGTGAGGGTCCACGGGTCGCGTGTCATCAAAATAAGATGATAACAAGGAGGGGTGAGAAAGACGTGTGGTCAAGACGTTCAGTGGCACGCAGAGTACAGAACTGTGTCACATAAGTGGTGAAATGAACACAACATCAAAGCGCGGGGGGGCATAGGATAGGTTAAGGTCCTGGACATGCGAAGTGATCATACAGATCAAGGCGGGGACCGCACGCAAGCTAGCTGGCCGATAATAACGGGGAAAAGATGGAAGACTGGTTTGTACCTGAGTAATCAAGAGGGTATATTTATACAGTATACCACAATTATATTATAACTGGCTAGATTGTGGAAGAACTAATGGGGTGACGCACTCTCGGGAGGCGGTTCATGGGTGGTCATCCAGGGTTCGGAATTTTAAACGCGCAATACTGCGTGAGCACATTGTTGTTAGATGTGGGATGAAGTTTGGATGATTTGGGATTGCATAACAGTATATATTAATATGACACACATCATACCATAGGAATGTTTAGTGAACGGTATATGTTGTGTACTGTAGATGGGTTGTGTTACTACACGGGAGGAGAAAAACAAAAACCGCGTGGGGTGCGCGCGAGAGTAGCATTGAGAAGGAGTCGGGTCCTCTCCACAGAGAATAACCGCTAAATATAAGTTACATCGTGGAGTGTGGTGTGTGTGAGTGTTTGCATAGATGGGGGGTGTGCTATTTATGGTTCCTGAGGTGCAACGCATATAATCCAGTTGCTACAAACTCACAAAGTCAGCTGGCTATTTCTCCGCGCGCTGCGACCTCCATCTGTGTTCATATTTGCGTATTGAGTTTGGTCCAGATCCATCATTGTTTGAGTCCACAGTGCTCTCTGGATGTAGGTGAACTACAACTCCCAAACTCAAGGTCAATGCCCACCAAACCCTTCCAGTATTTTCTGTTGGTCATGGGAGTTCTGTGTGCCAAGTTTGGTTCAATTCCATCGTTGGTGGAGTTCAGAATGCTCTTTGATTGTAGGTGAACTATAAATCCCAACTACAACTCCCAAATGACAAAATCATAATTTTTTTGAGTGATGGTCACTCCTTGTGTTGTGAGATGTTTTGTTGCCAAATTTGGTGTGATTTCGTTCATTGGTTCTTTTGTTTTTAAGGTACTCATTATGCACAGAGCATTTTTATATAGATAGATAGATATAGATTGGCTTCTAAGGCGAAAGATAACCTGAGCTGAAGGCGAGGCTCCAGAATGAAGCGTGGAGGCGAAGGCCCGATATCGACGGGCAAAAGGCGAGAGTCCGCGGAGGAGGAGGAGGAGGCGGGGGCCTGGCTGTTGCTGCCTCTCTGGCTCCTCCTCAGCCGGGCGAGGCGAGGACGCGAGGGCGGGCCTCAGCGTGGGCCATGGCCGGCAAGAAACGGGCCTCTCCGTCCGCGTCCGTGTCCGAGGCGCCTGGCGGCGGCACCGAACCTCCCCGCGGGCCTGGCCGCCCCCCGCCGCCACCTCCCGCTCGCTTCCCACGGCTAGGCTGGGCCGTGGCCTTCCTCCTCGCCGCCCTAGCCGCCAAGGCCTACCGAGACTGGGAGGCGGCCCGCCGACAGGTACCCACTAAGGCGAGGGAGGGGAAGGGAGGCCCGTCGCCATGGCAACCACCCGAGGCCTACACCTTGGAGGGAGCTAGGGAGGCCTGCCTGGCAGTGAGGCCTGTCGAAAGAAACACTTGGCCCTCCCTCCAGGGGTTTTGGACTTCAACTTCCACAATTCCCAACAGCCTTAGGCCCATTCATTTTCCCCTCAGCCGCTTAAGGGCCTGAGGCTGTTCGGAATTGTGGGAGTTGAAGTCCAAAACGCCCAAGTTGCGAACAACATAAGTTCTGGGTTGTAGGTTTTTTCGGGCTATATGGCCATGGTCTAGAGGCATTCTCTCCTGACGTTTCGCCTGCATCTATGGCAAGCATCCTCAGAGGTGAGGTCTGCTGGAACTAGGAAAAGGGGTTTATTTATCTGTGGAATGACCAGGGTGGGACAAAGAATTCTTGTCTGTTGGAGCTAGGTGTGAATGTTTCAACTGAGCACCTTGATTAGCATTTGATGGCCTGGCAGTGCCTGGGACAATCCTTTTTTTGAGAGGTGATTAGATGTGCCTGATTGCTTCCCCTTTGAAATTCACAAGCATATGGACAATTTCAACAGAAGGGAGGAAACCATGAAAATGAACAAAATCTGGCTACTAGTATTAAAAAAACTCTAAAATTACATGGTCTAGAGCAGTGGTTCTCAACCTTCCTAATGCCGCGACCCCTGAATACAGTCCCTCATGTTGTGGTGACCCCCAACCATAACATTGTTTTTGTTGCTACTTCATAACAGTCATTTTACTACTGTTATAAATCGTAATATAAATATCAGATTTGCAAGATGTATTTTCATTCACTGGACCAAACTGGGCACAAATACCCAATGCAACCACATGTAAATGCTAGTGGGGTTGGGGGAGGATTGATTTTGTAATTTGGGAGTTGTAGTTGCTGGGATTTATAATTCACCTATAATCAAAGAGCATTCTGAACTCCACCAGCGATGGATTTGAACCTAATTTGCCACACAGAACTCCCATGACCAACGGAAAACACTGGAAGGGTTTGGTGGGTATTGACCTTGAGTTTGGGAGTTGTAGTTCACCTATATCCAGAGAGCACTGTGGACTCACGCAATGGTGGATCTGGACCAAACTTGGCACAAATACTCAATATGCACAAATGTGAACACTAGTGGAGCCTGGGGAAAATAGACCTTGACTTTTGGGAGTTGTAGTTGCTGGGATTTATAGTTCATTACAATCAAAGAACATTCTGAACTCCACCAACGATAGAATTGGCTCAAACTTCCCACATGGAATCCCCATGACCATCAGAAAATACTGTGTTTTCTGATGGTCTTTGGCAACCCCTCTGACACCCCTTCGCGACCCCCTCAGGGGTCCCGACCTCCAGGTTGAGAAACACTGTTATAGGGTTTTGTAGGTTAAAGCAAGCATCCTCAGAGGTAGTGAGGTCTGTTGGAACTAGGAAAAAGAGTTTATATATCTTTGGAATGACCAGGGTGAGACAAAGGACTCTTGTCTGCTGGAGCTAGGTGAATGTTTCAACTGACCATCTTGATTAGCAAGAGCCCCCGGTGGGGGAGTGGGTTAAACCCCTGTGCCGGCAGGACTGAAGACCAACAGGTCGCAGGTTCGAATCCGGGGAGAGGCGGATGAGCTCCCTCTATTAGCTCCAGCTCCCCATGCGGGGACATGAGAGAAGCCTCCCACAAGGATGATTCGTTCGTTCATTCATTCAGTCGTCTCCGACTCTTCGTGACCTCATGGACCAGCCCACGCCCCTGTGCCGGCAGGACTGAAGACCGACAGGTCGCAGGTTCGAATCCGGGGAGAGGCGGATGAGCTCCCTCTATTAGCTCCAGCTCCTCATGCGGGGACATGAGAGAAGCCTCCCACAAGGATGATTTGTTCGTTCATTCATTCAGTCGTCTCCGACTCTTCGTGACCTCATGGACCAGCCCACGCCAGAGCTCCCTGTCAGCCGTCACCACCCCCAGCTCCTTCAAGGTCAGTCCAGTCACTTCAAGGATGTCATCCATCCATCTTGCCCTTGGTCGGCCACTCTTCCTTTTACCTTCCACTTTCCCCAGCATAATTCATCCAGGCGTCCCCTTGCAGACGGCCAATTCTCTCACAACAGGAGCGGTTGCTCCTGACACGACAAAATAAATAAATAAAATAAATCTTGATTAGCATACAATGGGCTGACTGTGCCTGGAGCAAACTTTTGTTGAGAGGTGATTAGATGTCCCTGCCTGCTTCCTCTCTGTTGTGCTGTTGCAGATTTAGAGTTTTTTTAATACTGGTAGCCAGATTTTGTTCATTTTCATAGTTTCCTCCTTTCTGTTGAAATTGTCCACATGCTTGTGGATTTGATTTAAGTCGTTGACGTTGAATCTGTGTAGTCTGACATGGTGGTTGTGAGAGTGGTCCAGCATTTCTGTGTTCTCAAATAAAATGCAGTGTGTAGATTGCAGGATTTGTTTTTAAGTCGGAACAGGGACTTTAAAAAGTGTAACTCCAGTCCAGTATAGATATCAGGCATGTGCAAGTATTGGGCTCTTCCCAAGGGTCTAGGACAGTGGTTCTCAACATGTGGGTCCCCAGATTTTTTTGGCCTTCAACTCCCAGAAATCCTAACAGCTGGTGAACTGGCTGGGATTTCTGGGAGTTGTAGATCAAAACACCTGGGGACCCACAGGTTGAGAAACACAGGCCTAGGATATTATTATTATTATTATTATTATTATTATTATTATTATTATTAGAGACTAGCCGTCCCCTGCCACGCGTTGCTGTGGCCCACATGGCGGTTCTGTGTAGGAGGTTTGGCCCAATTCTATCGTTGATGGGGTTCAGAATGTTCTGTGATTGTAGGTGAACTATAAATCCCAGCAACTACAGCTCCTAAAATGTCAAGATTCTATTTGCCCCAAACTCCATCAGTGTTCACATTTGGGCATATTGTGTATTCGTGTAGTTTGGTCCAGATCCATCATTGAGTCCACAGTGATTGTTGGATGTAGGTGAACTACAACTCCAAAACCAAAGGACAAAGGACATTGCCCACATTGCACACTGTTGGTCATAGGAGAACAGTGTGCCAAGTTTGGTTCAATTCTATCATTGGTGGGGTTCAGAATGCTCTTTTATTGTAGGTGAACTATAAATCACAGCAACTACAACTCCCAAATGACAAAATCAATTTTGTTTGAGTGAAGGACATACATTGGGTTGTTAGGTGTCCAAATTTGGTATCAATTCGTCCAGTGGTTTTTGAGTTCGGTTAATTCCACAAACGAACATTGCATTTTTATTTACATAGATATATTTCCTATTTGATTTGTCGTCAATCCACTCCCTTGGGCTCCATGCAAATATACCATTTGCCAAAATATATGATCCTGTGCTTTCCTTTTCCATTTCCGACTGAATAACTTAACCATTGGTTCGTTCCATTGAGTGCGAGGTCTGCCCAAGCAGTGCTTGTGGTCTTTTGGTATTCAGTTTGTGAGTCACCATGTCCTTTATTGGTTGTGTTTAGTGTGGTGAAGTGGGTTAAACCACTGAGTTGTTGAACTTGATGGCCAAAAGGTTGACGATTCGAATCCGGGAAGCAGAGTGAACCCCCACTGTTAGCCCCAGCTTCTGCCAACCGAGCAGTTCAAAAACATGCCAATGTGAGTAGATCAGTAGGTACCGCTGCGAGAAGGTAATGGCGCTAAATACAGTCATGCCAGCCACATGACCTTGGAGGTGTCTACGGACAACCTTAGCTTAGAAATGGAGATGAGCCCCCCCCCCCCCCCCGAGTCGGACATGACCAGATTTAATGTCAGGGGAAAACATTTACCTTTTTTACCTTTGTGTGTGCTACATACCCTATCCATCTTCTTTTTGCCTCATAAATCTCATTGACCATGTTACATACCCCAGTTCTTTGACACAGCTTTTTGTTGCTGACTTTCCTTCTTATTGTCGTACCACACATCTTTCTTTCTTTCCATTGTTCTCTGAGTCACCAGCAGTTTTTCCTCCTCTAACTTTGTTGTTGCCCATGTTTCAGATGCGTATAACATTTGCTTGTAGAACTGTTGTGTAGAAGATATCGGCTCTGATCTTCATTGGCAGTTTAGACACTTACTCAATTTCATCTCCATTTATAACGATGCAGCCCTGGACACACTGCTCATTTTTTATCCATTTCATTTTCTTCAAGTTCATTTCCAATCCTACTGGTTTTGAGAGTCTAGCTAGTTGTTGGAGATCATGTTGTAAATCTTCTGGATTTTGGACGAAAAGGAAACAATTGTCTGCAAAGAGGAGATGAGAAAGTTGTCAGTTGAAATCCTGCCTTTAAATCTGATTTTTCGAAACAGTCGCCGCAAACAGTTTTGGGCATATTGTGTCTTCTTGACGCACTCCTTTCTTTATTCTGATGTTACACACTTCTGACAACAGTTTTATATTCGTTGTGCACCCTTTATGGATGCTTTTTATGATGTTCACATACACTGGATTTACACTAGCTTGAACATGGAGTATTGATAAAAATGTGTGCCCTAAACTGCAAAATTGGGGAAGGTACAGTATGTGAGAGCTGTTCAGTAGTGAAACTCTCTGCCCTGGAGTGTGGTGGAGACTCCTTCTTTGGAGGCTTTTAAGCAGAGGTTGGATGGCCATCTGTTGGGGGGCCGGGGAGGGGTTGAAATTATTTTCCTGCTTCTTGGCAGAACGGGGTTGGACTGGATGGCCCATGAGGTCTCTTCCAATTCTATGATTCTATGCCGATGTAGTTATTGAGGCAATGACAGGGTTTCTTACATTGGAGTTTTGGCTTTACTGTGACTAAAGAAACAAGGGATGTATAGAATCTGCTAACTAGATCTGTACTGACTCTACCTCCTTCAAAGTCTTGAGCTCCCACTACCCCTTTTCAGGCCTTCTCAACTTAAAAAAGAACAATTAATATTAGATATTTATTTGGAGGTTTTTGAT